GTTTTCTGTTGCCCCAGAAGGTTGGACCAGAACCAACGGGTTGAAATTAAATCAGAAGAGTTTTCGGCTAAACATGAGGAAGAACTTCCTGACAGTTAGAGTGGTTCCTCAGTGGGCCAGGCTTCCTCGGGAGATGGTGGGCTCTCCTTCTTTGGAGGTTTTCAGACAGAGGCCAGACGGCCATCTGACAGCCATGCGGATTCTGTGAACTTAGGCAGATCACGAGAGGGAGGACAGGGAGGGTTGCCTCAGTGCTTAGTTCTCGTGACCCTTCCTTACATGCCCAAGGAAATGCTGATCGTCACTTTGGGGTCAGGAAGCAATTTTTTCTCCAGATCAGTTTGGCCAGGGATCATGGAGGTTTTCAGCCATCTTCTGGGCATGGAACAGGGGTCACTGCGGGTGTGGAGGGGGAGGTATTTGTGAATTTCCTGCATTGTGCAGGGGGTTGGACTAGATGACCCTGGAGGTCCGAACTCTATGATTCTATAGCTGTGCTCTATGATTCTATAGCTGTGCATGGTGGGGTTCCTGCGTGTGCCTGGGGCAAGGGCATGAAAACCCCATTGAGCTTTTTACATCATGCATCGGATCAGTGCAGGTGCACTGTTTCCCATGGGTGTGATGAATGAATGAATATTTGCGGTCAAAGACCATTCATCAAAATATTACTTGTTCGTTAAATACAAGCAAATTAGCTTTCAGCTCTAAAAACAAAATATAACCTTAAAATCATTAAAATGTTAAAAGGAGAAACATTTAACAGTCAGAATATATCAAAATAATTATGAGATGTTTAAAACTAAACTACTTATGAGATGGGTGTGATGCACAGAGACCACGAAGAAGATCTCCAAGTGCAGCTGCATGAACATTCAACATATTTTGCTCCCACCTATTACAGTTTTCTTTGACCTCTCCTCCACAGAGCTTAAGGCAGCACACATGGTTCTTCTCTTCTCCATTTTATTTTCACAATAGCCCTATGAAGTAGGGTAGCCTATAAGTGTAATTAGCCCAAGGTTATTCAAGGGAATTGGAAACTGGGCCTCCCACTCCTTGTTGGACACTTTAACCACACTGGCTCAATTCTCCCAACCTCTGGCACTATCTCCTTCCAACAGCATTAGCCTAGCACAATGCCCCACTGAAGCTTGTGTTACTGAGTTGTCAACTGACTTGAAGTTATCAACCCAGGAAGAATTTCAGGTGTCTTGACATAAGTAGGAATAGAAATGCTGGCAGGAAAAAGGGAGGGGAAGAATGTATTGAGGTTAACTGGTGTGGTTAGTCCAGTCACCACTAGTTAGCAGAGTGCATAAATAAAGCTACAAACGCAGCAGCATCACTTTACCAGGTTACTCAGCTTATAAAGCTACATACAGCCACGTTGCAAGTTTAGAAGAGAAATACTTCCCTCTTTATTTGAGAAGTAGACTTTGGATAGGAAAGAGATTGATAGAGTACTAACTTAGTAGCTAAAGGATGGAAGCAGCTGGAGAGAGGCCCATCTGCCTCGTGGGGCCAAGAGAGGACTGCATCCCTCTCTCTCTCTCTCTCTCTCTCTCTCTCTCTCTCTCTCTCTCTCTCTCTCTCGGTGCGTGCAGGAAGAGTGCTTGTCTTCATCGGAGTAAGAAAGGAGGAGGAAGGGGAAATACTCCCTGAGAACACAATCTGCATTTCAAAGGGGACAGTGGCAGAAGAGGAAAGACAGAAAGAAAGGTCAGTGTGCCTATCTAGCCTCTCTTGCCACTGTAGGTCTGAGACAGTGCATCTGGAACTTCCAACAGAATGCACATCCAGAATGTTCGTGGTTACTTCTTCCTTACTTCCAAAGATATTCCTATCCAGATTTTTGAAAAAGCTGCTTCCTCTCAGAGTGAGACAGCCCTCTGCATATGCTTAAAGGCGCTATTTTCTTAACTCCATTCTTTTCTAAACAGAAAAAACCTTTTTTTTTTACAAACAAGGAAGTATTCCAGACATACTCAGATGCACGTTGCCCTTGGTAATTTTTTTTTCCTGACAAGAAGAGAACATGCTCAGAAGCCCTACTTGAAAACACCAACTTGTTTTTTTAAGGCACGAAACAGAAATTGGAAATCTGTGATGACTAGCAACCATGGCACTTTCTTAACCCCAGCCCTCTGCAAGATTTCACCCACCCTCTAGAAAAATAGTTTTCAAATTCTTTACTAGGAGCCCTGTGTCGCATTAAGCTTATTGTGTACATCATCTTGAAAATAAAGGTATACAATCCAGCCACAAAGTCATCTTGTCTACAGGTACTGAGCACTGCCTGCACCTCACAATCAAGACAACCAAGGCACACTCCCTTCTCACACAGGGCTACAACTAGGCTCCAAGAACCTGGCTGGTAGTTGTCCAAACTGAGGGCGCAACTCTTAGAACACTGCTATATTTAACAGTGTGGAGGCTCAGCCACACATCAATCAGAAAAGCAACAGAACCAGGATTAGGAATTCCAGACCCCCCCACCCCAGTGGGGATAGGAGTCCGCTGCTGCCAGGCCCCACCTCTCCGCCGCCAATCAGATGGCCGGAAGGGGGGACTTACCCCCCAAAACAGGGAGGAACACCGGACATTTCAGTGACATGCCTACATGACAAATGTAACCCGGAATTGACATGGGCGTCATGTTGGGGACATTGGGGTGACACTCTGGGTTTGGGGCAAAAACTCTATGGTAGAAGCTAATTCTACCATAGAGTTTTTGCCCCAAAACCAGAGTGATGCCCCTATGCCCCTGATGTGCCTTTCAGGTCATGTTGAAGTCACATGGGCACGTCACTGAAATGTAGGATGAACTCCCGGTAAGCCCACCCCTGATCGGCTGCCCAGAGGGGCCTGGCAACCCTAAGGCATTTATATCCTTGGTGGTAGGATTAATATCACTTCGTAAACGAATGCAAAGGAAAACAAGTGCCTGATGAGGGCTGAATATATTTCAGCAGTATCTAATGCTGAGAACAGTTGAGAATCAGTGGGGGGGAGGCAAATTTAGGTTGCTAAATTCCTGAAAGAACGGGGGAGGGGGGGAGGAGGAGGAGGGTTGGATTTATACCCCACCCTTCACTCGGAGTCTCAGAGCAGCTTACAATCTCCTTCCCTTCCTCTCCCCACAAGAGACATCCTGTGAGGTAGGTGAGGCTGAGAGAGCTCCGAGAGAACTGCTCTTGAGAGAACAGCTCTGAGAGAACTGTGACTGGCCCAAGGTCACCCAACTGGCTGCATGCAGAGGAGTGTGGAATCAAACCCGGTTCTCCAGATTAGAGTCTACCGCGCTTAACCACTACACCAACCTGGAAGGCAGCATGGTAGAGCCAATCTCGACACATCTTGGAAGCTAAACTGGTTGGGTTCCCAACTCGAGGCTGGGAAATTCCTGGACATTTTGAGGTGGAGCCTGGAGAGGGCAGGATTTTGGGGGGGCCTTAGCGTGGTATACCGTGGAGATCAGTTATGATTCTGGGAGATCAGACCCAACCTGGACGTTAGCAATCCTATAAGCAGGATCAGTATCTGGATGGGAGACCACTCAGGAAGACTCTAAAGAGGAAGGCAATGGCAAACCAACTCTGCTTCTCATTTACTTTGGAAGCCCCTTTCTGGGGTTGCCATAGAGCTTGCAACTTGACAGCTGTTACGTATGTAAGAACATGGGGAAGGGGGATTTCCAAACTTCAACCCTTTACACAATTGTTCATCACCACCCTTGACTACTACCTAGAGATGCCAGCCTCCAGGTGGGACCTGCCCCCCCCCCCGGATTACATCTCCAGGCTACAGAGATCAGTTCCCCTGGAGAAAACGGATGTTTTGGAGGGCAGACTCTATGGCATTGTACCCCACTGAGGTCCTTGTCCTCCCCAGACTCCTTCCCCAAATCTCCAAGACTTTCCCAACTTGTATCTGGCAAGCCTACCCCTCCCCCCACTGCAGGCTGGCAACGTGACCAGTACCAGCACAGCTACCCACCTGAATTCACCCAGAATCCTGTACAACATACAGGAATTTTACAGTGGATACCCAGATTTCCCTGGAAACAAACTGATTCAGAAAAGGCTACTGATGTCCAAACTTTCTCACCAAGGATGGAAACTTTGAAAAATCACTGCTCCATCACATAGTCACACACCATGCACCTTCCTTTAAGAGGAGTCGGAACAGGCTGCTATGCGGACAGAACTATTCATTAGCAGATGTGTGGCCCAATTTTATGGTCCTGTTTCTTCTTCTTTCCTTGCTTTAAACAGACTTTGACACAGCGAAATGTAGCCCGCCCCACTTCACAGCCCCAGCATAGGATAAACATCACCTGCTCGATTTCTGTGGCTCAAGCTCCTATCATGGGCCCAACAGCAGGGTCAATTTTTTAAAAGGTGGCAACTCGATATCCCTATGCCTATCTAACTCCAGTGTACACCTACCAAAAAACTGTCCGTTTCCATTTGCCCTGGCATCATAAGAACCAGAGTTATTTTACCTAGGCCTCTGGGAGACACAGGGCTGCCCTAGCCCGTCTCCTAAGAGACCATTTAGGTTTCCCAGGATGCACATCTGCAAGGCACCTGCAAAGGGTGCCAGAGCTAAATACCCATAATTCACTGCACAGACACAAGCCAAGTTCTTGGTTCAGTCAATGCACATAGGCAATTCCTGAAATATTTAGCTGTTACATTCGAGTTAGGGTCCGTCCCCCCCAAACTCTCGCTATGCCACCTGCTACTGTGAGGACTGCAGAGGAACTAGAAATATGATGGTGAAGGACACAGTTAAGTTCCCACAGATGTAGTCAGCTCATGCATGTCGACCCTATTTAGTGCCCACTTCATGTCAACCTAGGAAAAGACAGCTGCACAAAGGTACTGGAGACTTGAAATAGGAAAAGTAGACACAGTGTTAGCATGGGGGGCACTTCCACAGAACAGATACGCACAGACACACCCGAGCCCCCACATCTGCCCCCTCTCACTTACATTTGGCCTCCTTCCAGTCAGTGGACGTGGTCAGATCCACCTTGGCTGCCATGGCCAACGGAGCAGCTGCCCAGCTCCGGATGCCCCTTGCAAAGCCCCAGTGGGCTGGCACCCTGCGAACGGGAACCCCACCTCCACTACACACACCCTGTCTTCCACCACCTTGCAGTGTTACGGGACAGCTGCCCCACACCCTCCACAACCTCCCAAGGGCTCCAGACAGCCTGCTGATTTGCAGGGGGAGAAGGAATCCTGGCATGGTTGCAAGACTGCAGGGGAATGCACTGGGCACCCGGCCTTCTTCTCTGGTTGGCCTTTCAGTCGGCGAGAGAAATTCTTCTCCCTTATTTATAACACCTGGTATTTCGGTGGGAGAGCGGGGGACAGCGTGGCTAGCTGCTGCAGCTGCTGCCACAAGACAGGATAAGGGGCTTTGACTTCTAAGCCTCTTCCCTCCCCTTGACGGATGCATGGTCTTCTGGGAAATGTAGTTCTGCAAAGCCTTCCTAGTCTCGCTCCCTGTGCTTTAATGGGAAAATGAAAACAGAACCAAACAGCCAGCAGTTGCAACGCAAGGTGCCCCAGATTTTCAGTTCTTTCAAAAAGAAAATAAAATCACTAAGGCCAAAAAGAAAAGAAAATCACTAAGGCCATCATCTCAGAAGAAAGAAGGTCACTGCAAGTGAAAACAACAACAAATTATTGCAGCTGCCTTCAAGAGTTCAGGTATTCAGCCTGAAATGCATTATCTCGGCTCAATGCCTCTTAAAGAGGCATTCCTTTATGCATGCACTCAAAGGTGCTCTCTCTGGGGAAGCCAAGCCCCTGCAGTGTTTTCCAGCCTTCACAACTGTGTTCTCAGATGGCAGACTTACTTTTCATATAACCATACAAACAAAGGCAGCTGAAGTTGGTTCCCAGTGGGGTACAACTGAGTCTATCTTCCAAAGCATCCATTTTCTCCAGGGGAACTGATCTCTGTAGTTGTTGTGTGGTTTGTTTGTTTTTTGCTTTAAAAGTTCTAACTACATTGAAGTCTAAATCCAAAAGCATTTAAAAAAATTGTTACTAATAAATATATATCGACTAAAGACTCTTGTTATGAGGATACTGATAAAAGCTATACTGTTGTATACAGTGCAGAGTTTTTAATACTGGGGTATGGAACTGATCTCTGTAGTCTGGACTGGAGATGAGCTGTAATTCTGGGGGATCCCCAGGTCCCACCTGGAGGCTGGCATCCCTATCTGGAGATCAGTTATAATAATGGGAGAACTCCAGGCCCTACCCGGAGGTTGGCAACCCTAGGACCACCTCCAAACCACACATTCCCCACGTTCCAGACACTGCCCTCTGCAAGAAGACACAGAGTGGTACCCAGTCCAAGCACTTGTTCTAGCACTACAAACTTCTATTTGGGCTGCCCCCAAGAAACCTGTATTCCAAAGAAGATTCTTTTTTTTCTTTTTTTAATTGAACTCTCCTAAAAAGGAGAGAATTTTATTGCTTTAAATTTACAGAAAAGGGGAAGGGTATATAGAGGGATTAAGAAAAGGTCGAGTGATGAGTATATTAGTATGTTAATCTTTTAACCGTATTAATACAGTCCATTTCTCCACTGAGTTGTCGATCTTCTTGCTTCTTTACCTGTCAAAGATAAAAGTTAGTTGGATTAGTAAAGTCCTTTTAGGTTAGTACTAATATGTCCTTGCAGCACAGTCAAAAATTCATCAGATGTTGGGGCGCCTTCCTTTCTTCTCTCTTAGGTTATAGGAGACACCCCCCACTGCTCCTTTCTCCTCAGGTTCTTCGTCACCTCCTTCCAGGTTGCTGTCCTCGTCGCTACTGAAAATTTTCCACTTGGCGAGCTCTGCTTCTTCCTCTGAACTGGCGTGCCTCTTCAAAAACTCTTGTGCTTTGAAAATGGAGTCAATCTTCTCTCTTTTGTCTTTAAACTTAAAGACCAGTCCTTCTGGAAACAACCACCTGTAATTAATTTGACGGTTTTGCAAGAATGTGGTCAGTCCTTTATATGCCTTCCTCTTCTGTCGAATTTCAAATGGCACATCTTTTAAAATCCTTATAGTTTGCTCTCCAATTTTCAAGGGTGTTGCTGAGGTCGCTTTGAGGATCTGATCTCTTACACGTTGTTTGGTAAATTTGACAACCACTTCAGCTGGCAGATTATTTTTCTTTTCCAAAGAAGATTCTAATAAGGTACTGAAAGTTTTGGAGGTTCAGAGCTTTTAAGTTATCCTCAATATTTGTGGTTGGATTCATGAGTAAGTCAAAATAAGGAATTTGGAAATGCAAATAAGGAACTGGGAACCAACTTCAGCCTCCTTATGAATAAGCAGCTGATGAAATTCCGAGTGCTCCAGCATCCACCTGAGCCTGGGCCACCACACCTGCAGGTGTAGCTAGCAGCTCATGGCACACTGCTCCCTTGAAATCCCTCTTTCCTCATGCCAATTGCTTGAGGACAAGCTACACCTTCAGCATCTGAAAAGCCCTAACTTTAAAAGGGGGGAAGGAATTTGGAAAGGCCACAGTTTTAAGGGTGGTAACCCTTGAGGGGGGGTAACCTTTTTTTGCTGGACATTTTTCAACAAAAAACCATCTCCCCACCACCATCCGTGGGATTCAGGGGTGCATTTAGAAGGGTCACAATCCCACGGACAACAAAAGGAAACAAAAATCAGAGAAGAGGGGTAGTAATAAATAAAAGGAAACCAGGCCGGGGCAGGTCTAAAGCTGTGGAAAGGGAGTGCCCAGTTCTGAATTAGTTCAGGAGGTGTATGGCCTGGTTTTGCAGGTTGATCTGCTAGATAGTTCCAGAAAGAGGGGGGGTACACTTTTTTCCACATTATGAGAGAACTGCTCTCTCTTTGTTGGTGTGACCGACTGGGCTAAATTTAGGTAAGTTGCCAAGGCACCACCAAGCCAAGTCAAGGAGGCAAGCTTCTATTTATAGCTGGGAAAACTAATCTCCTAGCATTCCCTCTACAGCCCAGAGAATCAGCATAGCCAGAACAAAGGGTGTGCATTTTTAATTGGTGTTTTTGTAGTCCTTCCAGGCCCCTTTCCAAGATACACAAATGATACTGATGAGCCATTAAAAAAAAACACGTTATTTCACAAACCAACTTTGTAAACTTTGTAAACCATCATTACAAGCCCAGTATTAAATTTTACCCCTATTTATTTATTTACTTACTGTATTTCTATCCCACCTTTCTCCCCAAGGGGGACTCTAAGGGACTTACATTGTTCCCCTCTGCTCCATTTTATCCTCACAACAAACACTGTGAGCTAGGCTAGGCTGAGAGCATGCGATCTCCCAGCAAGATCTCCCAGCAAGCTTCCACGGTACTGTGGGGATTTGAACATGGGGACTTCCAGATCCTAACCCAACCTTTAACCACTGCACCACGTTGGCTTTCTGATCACAAAGGCCATCACAACCAGTGTTTCCTCTAAGTTGAGTTAGTGTGAGCTAGCTCCCAATTTGTTAGCCTCCGGCTCCCACATTTATGTCTTAGCTAGGAAGGATGGCTCCAGAGCAAACTAATTTATGCAGTAGCTATAAAGTACTGGATTCGCCGCATGGAGGACTCAGACTACGACATGCATTCAGAGGCGTTTATTGTACTTCACAACAAGACAAGCTAAATGGCTCTGCAAGGCCAACTATATACACTCCACCCGGCACACCTATGTTCCCATTGGAGGGTTTGAATTTCCCGCCAAGGGTGCTATTGGTGGACTCGAGGTGGACTAGAATCCTAGGTCCCCTTTGTGTTTGGGGACCAAGCTCCTGCTTGAGCCACAGACCCCTGGTGGCGGTCCGCGTACATAACAGTAGCCAAATTCCTTGCTCACAACTTTAATACCAGTAACTCACAAAGTGGAATTTTTGCTCACAGGACTCCACAGCTTAGAGGAAGCACTGATCACAACTTTCACGAATCGCTCCACCTACAAATTTCCTGCTTCATTCCCACCCACCCTGCTTTTTTTTTTTAACCTTTTATTGAGACGATATATGGCCTGCCTTTCTCCCTGGGACTCAAGGTGGATTACATAGAATAAATCAGCACGATCAACAGAGTGGGACATCCAAAAGATAATGCAATAGACATTTGACTCGGAGAGATCTGGAAAACCCACCAGAAGTGAAGCACAACATAAGTATTCACATGTTAAAATCACATAGTAGAAGCATAGTAGAAGTACAGCGATGTACATAGTAGAAGTAGTAGTACAGCGATGTATATAGTAAAAGTACAGCGATGGACAATAAGAGCTATACATAGCAGTATGGCCCAGAGTCCCCAACTGCCCACTCCAGGCCTCACTCTGAACCACACTGTTACAGTGCAGCACTATTGGTGGTGGAAAGCCACCTAGTCACAGCTGACTTATGGGGACCTCATAGGGTTTTCAAGGCAAGAGACGGTCAGAGGTGGTTTGCCATTGTCTGCCTCTGCATCCCGCCCCTGGTATTCCTGAGAGGTCTCCTCTCTAAATGATAGCTAGGGCTGACCCTGCTTAGCTTCTGAGATCAGGCTAGCATAGGCTATCCAGGTATTCCTTAGAGGTCTCCAATGCTCTCTCTAAGCTGTGGAGTCTTGTGAACAAAAATTCTACTTTGTGAGCTACTGGCATGAAAGTTGTGAGCCAGTGATTTGGTTGCTGCATAAATTAGTTTGCTCCGGAGCCATCCTTCCTGACCTAAGACAAGAATGTGTGAGCCGGAGGCTAAAAAACTGTGAGCTATCTTACACCAACTCAGCTTAAAGGGAACACTGATCGGGAGGGAAGGAAGGAAGGAAGGATCTTCGCAGGCTTACTGTAGCTAGGGCTGGTTGATTTGGGGTGTTCTTATTTTCCCCCTTAGCTGAAGTTCACCTTGGAAGGGCCACATTGCCAGCCCCGGCATGGCAGTTGCCTGATCTCAGAACTACATTTTTTTTGGGGGGGGGGACCTAGGCAATGCTCAGCTCAGGGTGCCCTCAGCTACTAAGCCGGAGGGGGGAGTGACCATGCTCTGGGTTCTGAGCAGCAATGTCCTGCTGCGGCGGGTCTCCTCGGGAGGAGGGGTGTCTGACCAATGAGGGGGCTTCCCAGGTCGAAATTAGCCAGAGAGGAGGCAAACTTGAAGCAGCCGACAGCCACCCTGAGCGCTTCACTGCTAAAGTCAGGTTTTGAGGCCATAAGAAAGGGGGGGGAATCAAATCTCGTTCCGTCCCCCCTCCGAGATCTCCTAAAATT